GTGAGAGTTCCAAGAATCCCCCCAGGCAGCCGTGGACAGACCCAAGAGAGACCAAGCCCGACCACAAGAAACCTTCCACAAGAAACCCAACCCTGAGACCCCAGTAAGTCCATCGATTTCTGGTGTGGGAACGCTGCACTTCCCATCGCAAAATCATCGAAACTCAAGACACCCAGGGCACCCTTGAGGCAAGCAGGGTGTTTCTTCGGATGGGCCTCCACTGCAAGACGGCCAAAGCGGGGACGGGGACGGCCTAGGAGGGCCACACGGTGGTCCATAAGAGGGAGGCACCCGGGGCAGGCGAGGAGGCTTGGCCTAACGGCCGCGAGGGGCCCAAGACGACCAAGACCGCACCCAAACGGCCGTCGCGAGCCCGATGACAATCCTTGCTGACGCCCCGCCTCCTGCACTATCTTCTAAGGCTAGAAAGCCCAGGGTTCGCTAGGGACTGGTTTCCCCCCAGAAAACGACGAAGACCCTTCCAAAGCCCTCCCAAAACCCTCCGAAAACCCTCCTGGAATCATTCCCAGAGGGGTTTCGGAGGGTTTCGGGAGGTTGTGGGTTATTTTGAAAGGAAACCAGTCCCTAGACTTCCTAATTCTAAAGGATTCCGCACCCGATTGTCAATTCAACTGCAGCGCGCAAACAAAAAACTTGGACTTCCCAGGCTGGCACTGCCACCGCCGCGCGCGCGGAGGCCCTGCAGGCTGGATAATGCAGGCCTGCAAAAACTGCGTGTCACGTTGGGAGCCCATCTGGCGAGCGCTCAAGGCCCACGGCATGAAGACTTGCTCCCTTATACAGTTACAGTGCCTAACTCGCCATGCCGGCGCCGCGTGCAGGTCTGATAATGATGTGAGCGTGCGAGGAACGGCATCTTTCAGATGGAGGTTCGAGCGTTGCGAGCAACCGGGTCCTCTTCGATTTCCCAGAGGCTGGCGCGGCGGCCTTCTTCGCTTGCGCATTACAGGACTCGCCACGCCGCCGCCGCACGCGCGCGCTGCGAGGGCGCCCTGCATGGTGGACAAACCCGCGGGTATGCGAACACACCGTGTTCGGTTGAATGCGGTGCGCGAGCTCCGATGACAGTCGGCGCGCGTGCACGCCGCCCTGCTCCATGCTCATGGTGCGTTCTGCGGGCGCCACCTGGACGTCCATCCAATTCAGCACCCCACTTTTGCGGGCCAAGCATACGAGCGACGAAGAGAAGTAAGCCCTACGCGAAATGGCATGGCGACCTTGAGCGGCTGGCTCACGCGCGCCGGCGCGGCACGCTGACCTCGGAAACGGGGGCGCTCGCGCGCGACCTCACGCGGGCAACTGGCGCGCGAATGTCCGCACAGTCGACCCCGTGGTTCCCGTCGCTCGTGTGGCCCTGACTGAGCACACACACCAAACAGAGCGGCAGGAGAGCCCAGAATCGAATCGACAAGTCGGATCGGCAATCGACACGGATCGTATCGGCGGAAATCGGCAGCCGAGTCGGGAAAAGTCGAATCGGCGGAAATCAGCAGGCTAGTATGCGTCCATTGAAAAATCGGAACCCAAATCGAAATCCCAAGTCGAATCGAATCGGAATCGGAATCCATCGAAATCGGATCGAATCGAATCGGGGGAATCGAAACGAGCCCTGAAGCGGTGCCGTTGTGCGCCCGGGAGCGCGGCACAGCCTGTTGCCGCAGAGCCCCTCGTCAGCCTCACGCACGCCTCCAAGGGGCCCAACCGATGCCTCTCGGAAGCCTCCTTGGAGCCTCCATGTGAAAATTACAGAAGCCTTGCAGAGGCCTCGTGGACGCCTCTCTGGACTGTTCAAGAAGCCACTCAGACTCATCTCTGCAATCTCGTAGAAGCATCTGTGAAACCACTAGAACGCCTCGAGAACGCCTGTCGGAAGCCCCGCGCCCAAAAAACACGCGACGCCATTCCATGAGCCTCTCAGAATCTCCCCCCTTCCTCAGGAATCTGCCAGCACCTCCTCAAAAGCCCTTTCAAAATTCTCTCAGGGTATTCCCAGTAACCTCCCAGAAAAAAACTGTTCCGAAACATCGCAGGAACCAATCATAAACCTCCCAATCACCTATCGCAATCCTCTCAGCAATCTCCAAAAAGCCATTCCGGAAGCCTCGAAGAAGTCTCAGCCTCTTAAGGACCTCCCAAAAGCTTCGCTGAAGCGTCTCAGAGGCCTCGCACAAGCCAGCCAAAAGTCCTTCAGAAGCCCTCCCACAAACATTTTCGGAAGCCTCGCAAAAGCCTGTTGCGGAAGACACTCAAGGACCTCGCAGGAGCCTCACAGAAACTTCTCAGAGACCTTGCAAACATATAGCATCAACTCCCAGAAGCAGATCACAGCATCTCGGAATCGTCTCTGCAAGCTGCCAAAACTTTCCCAACCCTCACCGACGCCTCGCAGACGCCTCTCATGGCCTCTCAGAAACCCCGAGGGAATCCAGCACAACCAGTAAAAATTGAAAGGCCGCATCCGGACGAATTTGCAGACAGGCTTGTGCGACGGCACCTGGGGGTTGGGAAAATAGACAAACAGTCAAATGTGAAGACCCGTCGGTGCGATGGCGACCGCGGGAGTCATGTATAGACAGGCCTCCTCCTCCTCCACCTCCTCCTGCACCTCCTCCTCCTCCTCCTCCTCGCATCCTCCGCGTTGCCCTCCTCCTCCTCCTCATCATCATCATCATCATCATCATCATCATCCGCCTCGCTCCTCCGCATTGCCCTCCTCCTCCTCCTCCTCCCCTCCTCCTCCTCCTCCTCGCTCCTCCTCCTCCACCTCCTCCTCCTCCTCGCTCCTCCTCGCTCCTCCTCCTCCTCCTCCTCCTCCTCCTCCAAGCTCCTCCTCCTCCTCCTCCTCCTCCTTCTCCGCCTCCGCCTCCCCTCCTCCCCGCACTGCTCCTGGCGAGCGCCGCCCGGGGGCGCCGCGTCGCCGGGGGCCCACGGGCTCACGTCGGCGCCCATGCCGGACGGGGGGGGCGGGGGCTTCGGGGGGGGGGGCTTCGGCACTCTGGAGCCGCGCGGCCGGGAGGGCACGCTGGGGCCGCAGGAGGAACGGGGGGGGGAGGGGAGGGAGGGGGGAAGGGAGGAGGAAGTGGGAGGCGGAAGGGAGAGGGAACGGAGGATAAGGATAAGGCCCTTGGGGGTCTGGTCTTGCCGCCTACCGAAAAAGGCTTGGACCCCTGGGATGCATACGGATGCGGGCCCACCCTCGCTTTGGGGGGGCCGCCTGAGGCGTCGGGGCCCGCCAGTGTCGACGGGGCCCCGTGCCTCGCCAGCAGGGTGGCCCTGCCACGGTATCAGTATAACGACTGCTGCAGGCGGTGTGGGGCTGCCTCCCTGGGCGCACCCCTCACCGCTGAGAGCCCGCCCACCACCGCTCCCCTCCATCCCACCTCCCCCCGCTCCCAGGACGGTAAGAGAGGCAGAAAAAAAAGAGGCGGCCTGGTACTCCCTGCCCTCGACTTAGTAGTATGTATTGCATGGCCGCACTGGCTCATGCGTTGAGTGCTTGCTGCCGAGCTCTCCTTTGTGACGGTAGTGAGGAGAGAAAAAAAAGGGGAGTCCAGGCCTGGTGCAGTCTGCTCTCTACTACTGCTGCTGCCCGATGCCCCAGCCTGCCGCCGCTGCCGCCCTTGGCGAGGACAGCCTGATGTCCTTGCTCTGGCCTGAGCTGTCATCCTTAGTGACTGCCGAGGCGGCGGCTGGGGCGGTGCTCGAGCTCGCCTCACTGCTGAGAACCCTGCCACGGTTCTCCCAGCCCTCAATGCTCTTGCTCGGGTTGGTGCACGGCGGCCTGCGTGGTGGCTGGAGGTAGTCCTTAATCTCCATCTGCGGCTCCAACATTGGCTCCGTCTGCAGGTCGCCGTCGAAGAACGCCTCGTCGTAAGCGTAGCCGTGCGGGCCCTTCGTCCAGCGCGTGTATATGTTGTCGAGCTCGTCGTACTGGCGCCTCGTGAAGTCCAGCTCCCATGGCATCGGGCCGTGCGTGGTCTTGCCCATCTTGTCGTCGGTGATGCTGATGGCGCTCCTCGTTGTGCTGATGGCGCCGTTGATGTCGCGGAGCTGCTCCTTGAGGTAGAGCTCCGCTTGGCTGCGCTCCGCCTCCTCGTGTGGGTTGAGGCTCTTCGCATTCGTGCGGCCCGGGGTGGTCACGACCCTCTCCCGCTGCTTGTGGAGCGCGTGGAGGGCCTTCTTGCTGTGCTCGGTCGCCACCTTGAACGCTGCGGCCGTGCTCTGGAGCGTGTTGTGCGCGATCTCGAGCCTGTGCGCCGCCGTGCCCGCCACTTGGTCCGCCACTCCTCCCATGCCTCCTCGGTCGAGCGGCTTCTGCACGATCGTCGGCTGCAGATGGTCTCCTGCATCTTGCTGCTTCGCCATCTCGCCCTTCTCCATGTGCGCCTGCGCCGCCATCGCAGCACTGGTCGTGCGCCCTCTGGCGCTAGCTCTGGATGTAGGCGGGGTGGCCGCCAGCACTGGTTGGGGAGCCGCGAAGATGCTCGAGTCGCAAATGTCCTCTGGTAGTATGTCGAGCTGTATACCATTCCTTGTTACCTTAGTTGTTCCCGCCTACTGTTGTTGTACACCTTAGATATTGTAATCGTTTCCTTAGTTCCCAGTGGTTGGGTCGTAAGGAATCGTAGTAAGACCTTGGTGTGATAGTAGGCGTAGGCACAGTGGTTCGCTGGTGTCGGAGTCCTGTGCCTTTCCTTAGTATGCAACTCTTACTCACTCTAGTCTCTCGATGTCGAGATAAGTAACATTTGTAAGCTTAAGCAGGCAAGAGCTGGATGTAGCTGAGCGGGAGAGAGAGAGGTCGAACCGTGGTCGGATCACAATCGCATGTCTGTGCTGGTTGATGTGGTATAGTAGTTCCCTGTGTATGCTGTCATAGTACTCGATGTGTACCCAATATCATGTACTGTCGTTCTGTGTGCTGTCCATTACGATGTCGCGGCACTGCTGACTTCGAGCGTGCATCTGCAATGCTGTATGACAGGCAAACCCCTTATGTGAGTGACACTAGTAGAGAGCTGTTTGCCTGGAGAGAGATGATAGGTTGGGAAGTGGGAGTTGGTGGGGGAGGGGGCGTAGGTAGTGGGAGCCCGTGTAATTGTAGGGTGACGGCTGCATAGTTAGAAAGACCGCCGTCCCCCTCATTTTTTGCCATAGGCTGGTAATAATCCCTTGGTCGTAGGTCCCGATAGTACTTAGCCATCCGGTATAGGTATGCCATCTGTCCTCCGTGCTGCTCGGCCTGGCTTCTGAGACTCGTCATACGAACAAGGTCAACACTAATCTGCTGTGCAATTTTTTCCTCTCGACTCACTGGCGGCGATGATGGTGGCCAGGCACGAGGTCGCCCCATTGAGTTGAGGCGTGGTTCGGTGGCGCTGCTCGGCATCGAGCTGCTGGCTCCGCTGGGCTGCGGGCCTGGCGAGGGCTGGCCCGCGGGGCTCTCTCGCTCGGGGCGGGGCGAGCTGCTGGGCGTTGGCTGTGGTGTGCCTTGGCTCACCTCCTGTTGAGCTGCGCCTCCACCGCCCTCTCCAGGCCCGTCTTCGGGCCTCCTGAGCGGCTCTTCGTGGCCCCTAGGTGCGCCAGCGCGTGGCCCAGGGCCTGCTTGAATATGTCCCCTTTGAAGCCCGCGATCTTGTCGTACTGCTCCTGCTCCAGCTTCTGGTCGTACAGCGCGGCCCTGAAGCTCGGCGCCGTGTTGATCGTGTAGATGAGCTTGGCCTTGCATTGTTTGATGTCCATCTCCACGTCCTCGCCCGTCTTGTTGTATGCCTCCTGGATCTTGCACTGCAAGAAGACCTCCGTGATGAAGATTGGTCCCCAGGGCTCGTCGAGCTGGCTCATGAACTCCTTCAGTAGCTGTCTCACGTGGAGGAGAGACGCGTCTAGTTGCTGCTCCTCCGTATCGAGAACCGCCACGATCTCCTCGACTAGACTCGCCGCCACCTGGCCGTGGGGTGGTGGGCCGAGGCCGTGCCCTTTGCCCAGCTGCTTTACTTTCCGCCCGTACTCTCTGCCTGTCTCCATCGGCGCCTGCACCCATTCTGGTTCGAGTGGCGTCAGCCAGAACTCTCCCGTGACGTGCAGGAAGTTGCGCATCTCGTTCGAGTTCTGGAGAGTGAGCCTCTGGAGCGATCTCAGCTGGTCCCGCAGCTCCACTTGCCCGCCTCCACCCCCACCGCGGCCGCCTCCTGGGGGACCTCGACCTCCTCCTCCTCTGCGCTGGGTGGGAGGCGGCTGCTGCGGTGTCTGCTGCGACTGCTGCGTGTCTGACGAGCCGACTCCGCCGCCGCCGAGGTGCGGGCGCTGTGCTGGTCGCTGCCCTTCGGCTGCGCCTCCTCCTCTCTTCGTGCTGGCCCTGATGCGCCAGTCGCCCTGGCCCACGTGCGACATGTGCTCCTTCTCCCCGTGCTGCTCTGATCGACTCTGGCCCTGCATTGTGCTCACGTATGTGTGCGTGGTAGTCCTCAAGAGTTTGAGCCTCGTGGTTACAGATCTGGCAGTTAAGGGAGCTGGGGTCGGAAATGGGGTGGGACCACATCGACCTGTCTTGGTGGCAGATACCGTGACCATGTACTGCCCTGACTGCGTGGTCGACACATACCTTACGGTTAATAAATGTGCTCTTGCACCAGGGACATTGGTTGTTGACGATTACGGACGCCACCACGGGTCTGATGTTGTGGGTCTCTCGGCGATGCCCAGCTAGTGCTGCGTATGTCGCGAAGCGCTTGCCGCACGTCTGCTCTGTGTCGTTTTCGCCCTTCGTCGTATGATCGCACCAGTATGGTTTTAGTGTATCCTCCTCCCTGCCCTCCTCCCCCTGTATCGTCGCATCTCGTGTCGTTAGCACATCCCAATTTCGCTCGTAACTGTACAATATTGATGGGTCTGTTTGTAACCAGTTTTTTTGTTCCGTACTCCCCTGTTCGAATATAGCGAGGTCGGATTCCCTGTCTGCGTACCATCCCATGCTCTCGTCCACTGTTGCTATCACATGCATGTCTGCTGCAAACTGCTGCGCCCATGGGGTGGAGGTAGGCCCCACAAATCCCTGCCCCTCAAGTCGGCGTATGCCCTGAGCTGCGTCTAGTCTGGATGTTCCGAACACCGCTGCAATGACTGCTCCGTGCTCCCAAGGGTGCCTTGACCAGTTCTGGTACCACCGTAGGCGTCGCACCAGCAAAGAGACGGATGTGCGCTCGAGTCTCCAATATCTGAACACCTGTCGCAAGTTGTTGCACCTCACTGTCCCATCTGATCTGGTCCACGACATTGCTCCTCCCGCTAGCGTCCGTAGGTACTTGCCTAGTACGCTGTCGATAGCTGTTGTATGAGCGTCTGTCAAAACTAGCGCAGGTAAACCGCTGAGGGCCGCACCTACCACGAAGGCCATGAACATCATGCGTTTTATTTGTCGGGGTACCTTGGAGGTCCAGAAGATCCCGCATTGTCGCCATGCAACGCGGATGGATGCGATGCGCCGCACGACCTCGCCAGCGTTGCCCTGTCCAGCAGGTAGGTAGGGGCCTAGTACCCGCATTTCCCTAAGCGCCTGACCCTGCAGTTTCTTGCTGCGCCTTAGTTGTCTGGTTTTCCCGTAGCAGCCCTGCCCTACGAGGTATAGTAGGTGGTTGGTCTTAGCATTATTGAGTCCCCATCCTCCTGCAGCTATTGTTTGGGACAGGCGTTCAGTGTTGTTGTTGAGTTGTTTTTCAATGTCTCCAGCCGTCGCTGCGGGTGGCATTGTCTGCACGTAGGTGATGTCGTCCATGAACGTGTTGAGAGCTAAATCGTGGGTGTTGCCCGCGACTGGGTTGGTCGTGTCGTGGATGGTCTGATCTGGGTCTGTGCGGCCTTGTTCCCACCATTTTGTGACGTACAAGTTGTATGCGTCGTCGAATTGCCTTGGGCATAGAGTGAAGCCCATTTGGGCGCCTGTGGTGCTCTCGGCTTCGACTGTGCCGTCGGCAGCTTCGAGCGTCAGGGTGGAGTGGTCGATTGCTGCCATGGCGAAGCGTTGGTCGTGCTCGT